CGCTCCAATTATTCGCGACGCGCACTTTGTTATATTGTACGCGATTCGAGAGATTATTTCTCGCGTTATACTTCAATTCCTTTTCCCTTCATCCTCTGATAAAATTTTTTTATGGGATCGTCGGCGCGCACAACGCGATCAAAGAAGCGCCCGTTCGAAATATCCTGCATCATCGGCTCATTTGCGCGACGATACGTTCCGCCTGTTAATTTAATTCACGTTAAAAATACCGGCACGTGAGACTCGCGATAACAATTAAAAGCCGATAACTATGGCTATAACGGCTGTTGCGGTGCCTGCGAAGGCTCGTCGGGCATCCGACAAAACGACGATCGAAAACGGCTCTTCTTTACGTTAAATGTGCTCCGTGACAACGAACAATGCCGCTTTAATCTCCCATAAATTGCGAAAACGGAAGCGAGGTGAGAATAATTACCGGACGATGGCGCATTTTTCGCCTTGTTTAACTTTGGCGTTTGCTAGCAGAGCGCAATGTTCTGCCGTTATCGAATTTCCTTTGAGAGATACATTCCTTAAATCTTGAACATTTTGACGCGCGTCTTCCAGCCTAATTCCAGCCTAATTAATACATCAAATATCAAAGACGATGTATATATGTATGGAAACTTATCTCATCAATTTTGCTGTTTGAAGTTTATATATGTGAATGTTTGATGCTTCTCGTAATAACTTTTACAATGACATTTGTTTAAATCTTATGAAAATCACATCAAGTGCCATTAACATCCTGCAATGTTTAATAAATTTTAATATGGATTTTTTTTTTTCATTAAAAATGTTAAGTTTTAATAAGTGATAAAAAAAGAAGTGAAAAAAAATAAATTTCGGTGTTTTACTCTCGCGAGCGGTCGAGTGATTTCCCGATGAAAAGTCTGCAGCTATATGAATCAAAGCCGTAAAACGAGACTTTAATCAGAACAGTTTCGTCGGAAAGTAGAAGGAGAACTCTCCCATGAAGCAGGACAGGCGAATTTCACGGTCTTTCATTTATGCTAACGCGCGTCTGTAAACACGAAATAAACTATCTCGTTCCCTCGCGCACTAGTCTCGAGATAAATAGTCGGTACTTACAAACAGTACCACGTTATAAATGTGAAGAACGTATTTCAAGAAATTCACGGAGCAGCAACCATCGTCCCTGGTCCTAAGTCTAGTGGATGTACCGGGTAATCTCTCAGCGCTCTTGGCCATTTTCGGTCAATTGTTGACTGTGTGTGTCACCGTTCTCGTTGTCACCTCGTCGCCGTTGCTGTAAAAAATAGCAATAACAAGAAAGTTAGAAAAAAATTCATAATACCATAATTATTTAAAACAAGATTAATTAGACAAAAAATCATAAAAGTCGTATAGATAAAAATTAATTTGCATTTTTCATATGAAATATACGCATAATATAGCTCAATAAGTATAATATATGCAAAATATGCGTGTAATTAAAAAGGTGTAGAATGTTATTTAGTGATACAAGAAAATGCGAGAGAGTTACTTTTAGTAACACGAAAAGAAAAAAAAAAAAAGAAGAAATATTTCACAATTAAGGAAGCGAGTTTAAGCAAGTAATCAACAAGTTTTCGATTGTCTACCGCCCAAGAAAGTAATCAACGAGTTTGAGTTTCAACGTCAGAGTCTTCGTTGCTTGTTTATACTCGCTTGGACAGTGGATGAACTTAAAGCTTCTCTTCGTTTCGGCTCGACGTAGAACATCAGAGCAACTCTCCACAATTGCCGCCAGATCAACAGCAAGAGAGAGGGGTCACGCGCGAGAAAAAATACTTTTTACATAAAATATATAAATATTCCGGGAAATATATATCTCGTCTTTTTAATTATTTAAGGAATTTGCATATCGACTTCCGTACTTTCGCGAATTTATTATCAGTGATAAAGATACAATATTTACTATTTAATCATGTAAATTTGCGTGTCGACGCCTGCGTTAATGAAAAAAATCATAAGATTCCCGCTTCGACGATTTCGTTTGCCCACGGAAAGCGCTTTCGAGGAAGCGCAATTCTCACCTTCGGGAGACGGTAAAACGGTATCCTTTGCGAAGGAGCAAGTTAACTTTAATGTCATTAGAATTTCAGCAGGAGAAACGAAGTT